TACCTCCTTTCCTTTTAGCATACTGCCCACTACCTTGAAGATAATATGCATATCTCGTTGCAAGAAATTGAAATTGGAGATGCCAGTTGGCGAGATGAGTTATTGTAACATGTTTCTCGATTATTTGAGCGTGGCAGAATGTGATTATATATCACCTGAGTTGTGCCAAAGAGCACGCCAATTGAGAGTACAGGATTGCCACAACCTTACTAGGTTTTTGATTCCTACTGCGACTGAAACTCTCTATATTCGGGGATGTGAGAATGTTGAAAAACTTTCGGTGGCATGTGGGGGGACCCAGATGACGTCACTGATTATTGATGGCTGTAAGAAGCTGAAGTGGCTGCCAAAACGTATGCAGGAACTCCTTCCATCTCTTAAGCAACTGCAACTGATTGATTGTCCAGAAATAGAGTCCTTTCCTCAAGGAGGATTGCCCTTCAATTTACAACGACTTTGGATCAGAAATTCCAAGAAACTGGTGAACAGACGAAAGGAGTGGTGTTTGCAGAGACTCCCCTGTCTCAACTTGTTAGAGATCTCTCATGATGGCAGTGACGAAGAGATTGTTGGTGGTGAGAATTGGGAGTTGCCTTCCTCTATTCAAAAACTTACAATAAACAATGTGAAAACATTAAGCAGCCAACATCTCAAAAGCCTCACCTCTCTTCAATATCTATGTATTGAGGGTAATTTTCCTCAAATTCAGTCAATGCTGGAAGAAGAGCTTCCCTCCTCTCTTTCTCACCTCACTTCGCTTCAAAGTCTACACATCGGGAATTTCCCTAATCTCCAATCACTTTCTGAATCAGCACTGCCCTCCTCCCTCTCTCAGCTGACCATAGATGATTGCCCTAATCTCCAATCACTTTCCGAATCAGCACTGCCCTCCTCCCTCTCTCAGCTGGAGATCTCCCATTGTCCTAATCTCCAATCCCTTCCGGTAAAAGGGATGCCCTCTTCCCTCTCTCAACTAAGTATTTACAACTGCCCATTGCTCACACCGTTACTAGAATTTGACAAGGGGGAATACTGGCTAAATATTGCTCAAATTTCCACCATAGTGATCGATGAGGAATCCCTGTGATGATTAAAACGAATGGCTCTCCAACTGATGTAAGTTATTCTTTTCCATCATAAGCTTTTTACTTTTGTTTACTTCACTTTGCATTTTTGTTAATCCTTTTCCTTTTTTAAACCTTTTTGAGCAGTGTGGAATGTCTATTGCTCAAACCACGGCTGCCGACCAAAAACTGCTCATATTTCCACCATAAATGTTCATTGGGAGAACCTCTAATGATTCAAACATGTGGTGCTCCAATAGATGTAAGTTCCTTAGTATCTTTTGATTTTTGGTTACTTCTCTTTGCTTGTTTCTTAATTCTTTTTCTACATTATAGGATAAAGACATGTTTTACTCCTCTCGATATGCAGATATGTTGCAGAGATGAAGTCTCTGTGAGAGTGGTAAGATATCATTTAAAGCATATGGCAATCTAGCTCAGCAAGAGATACATGCTAAAGTATATCCTGTTTGGGATGAATTCAACGTGAGATAACAAAATAATGATTTACTCGTGTTTCAGTTACCAAGATGCTTATTTTGTTGTAATACTTTGCACTCTCATAAATCAGTGAAATAGGTTTCCTTCATTGGCACCCTCATCAGTCATCAGTCTGCGAAACAGAGAAATCAACGGTTTCAAAATTCTTTAGAACCCATTTCGAGCTTCATACCTTCAATTCTGATGACACCCAAGACACAAAAGACATCAACATAGTAGAAGAATTTAACCCAACACCCATTTCAACCCAAGTTTTTGATTCCTGCTTCACCTGATGGGAAGAAGTTTACGTGTGAGAAAGGTCTATAGGTACAAATATTTTTTCTTCTCCCTTTCTTACTGCGGCGCTTATATTGGTTTTGCCCCACTTTGCATCATAATGATGTTGGAGTGTATCGGTTTTCTACTGGTATTCAGATACTTAAAATGGGAAATTGCTTTTGAAAATATCATTTTCATTGTTCGAATGTTTTTTAAATCATCTGTTGATCCAAAATTTTCATTTTTCTGTTGATCTTCTTCTATATTTAGTTTTACATGTCTTCTGATTGAGTTATAATACATGCCTTGATTCTATAGAAGATGATAAATTGTCAAATCCTTCCAGTGCGTTGATCGTAGATAAGACACTCAGAAGAAGAAAAGATGACACGAAGATGGTTAGCTGCAAGGTAACCGACAGAAATTTCTTTATAGGAGGAAAATGGAATCGAAGAATCCGGGATGACATAGACCCACAGTGTGAAAGAGGTAAGAGAGTTTCATCTACAGTGTAAACAGAAACTTTGATAGGTAAAGGAGGCAGACAAAAAAGCTAAACATCTTTTTATATGCAATAGCAATTCATAGAAGTATCAATAAGCTTACAATCCATCATATATTTCTTCTAAGTACATAAGATGTAATGTCTGTGGCAAGTAACTTTTAAGGAGATTCTAGTGCTTTTACCAAGGATAACATCAATATTTTGATCCATTGTGAAGGCGTAATTCTGTTTCCAGCAGGATTATATTAGTTTCTTTTCTAATTAAGAAATAACAATGTCTTCAATGCATTGTCAAGATTCAGTCTACTTTCTAGCAGCAATTAACATGAATCGTACATCCGTTCCAAATGTCATTATAAAAAGGAAAAAAAAACTGCTGACACTACACTTCATCTCAATTCTCATTAGGATAGTTGAAGTATGAATTATTCTTATGTATTTACATTTATCTGCAGGATTATCTTATGTGAATGTGTTTCTGAGTAAGGATATGAGTGAAATAGCCCAAAAACCTATATAAACCCCTTTGGAAGACTACAACTTGCATAACTCAACACTCTCTCACATGTGTAACCAGATTTTGAGGTTCACATGGACTTCAATATGAACTCAAGAGTGTGAGAATAAACTTATAAAAGGATGGTTGTGATATTATGTGATGAGAACGTAAAACCTTATAAATTCCTTTGAAAAGCCTCTATTCAAATTTCAACCCATATGGAACAACAATATAACTTAACTGAAAATGGCTAAGAATCAAATATACGATACTCTAAGACCACTCAATTCTTTGTTTATAGTAAAATGTGTAGAGAATAGCAAAAGAAAAGTATATATATTCGGGAAGCCTTCTGCTAGCCCAAGACCGTTAATTAAGATCGGAAGATTCAACTAAACAAGAGGAAGCTGGAAAGGAGAACTTTGTTTAAGTAAGAAGACTCTTGAATTGTCTTTGTTTGGGTTGTTCTTGGGTTGATTACAAATGCCTAATGTCACCCCTATTTATTCTAGATATTTCTATACTATAAATATTCTTAAGTATATATATCAAAAAATAATTTACTCTACCAAATTCTAGAAAGTTCTACGGGATATCTAAGATATTTTTGGTACCTCCATAAAATCAACTTTAATTTTTCACAAAATCAACTGCTACAAACAGCTTCACTGAAAACAAATAGCACAGAAGAAAGGGTCTGGTTGTCTTCTGCTTAGGGAAAAATTGATTATTGAAAACACTTTTGTGTACATGACATTAACATCTCTCATTTTCATATGTGAAGTTTGCATCCAAGAAGTTCCAAAAGAGGAAGTGATAATGTGGTATGCATTGTTCACTTTCACATCCCATTTTTCTGTTTCTTTGGTCCCTCTTCTTCCTGTTCCATTACTTTGTTTTCCGTTGGGAATTTTCTTCTAACTGCTATGGAGGTTCAACCATATCATACGCGTCGTCAATGTTTAAAGCCCTTTTGTGATGTCATTTAGTGTAGTGATGTATAACATCATGTTGTGATTTTAAAGATTTGCTTATCTTTTACCCATGCCTAGGTTGACGCCTTACTTTGTCTTTACTCTTTACGCATCATCTGGTGTCGCCCTGAAAATTTTTGTGTAGTTAAGGTCTTTGATTCTACCTTAATCGTAAAATGCATCCCTTGTACTTAGGAGGTCATACAATCAGTAAGCTTGATGACATGCTTTTGTCGAAGAATGACTATGATGATTGAACTTCTGCAATTCGTTTGTCGGCAGGTGGAGATATACAGCCATTGTTACGAGAAACAACCTTTGGTTATCCAAGGTGCTGGAGCAGGAAATGATACCACAGAAGCTGGTGTCCTAGCTGATATCCTTGACATTCAAGATTTATTCCCTTGACTGAGTATTACACACTGAGATACAAACATTCGATCCTCATAGGATGAAAAATCGACTCTTCCTGTCCCTCTGCTTTCAGATTGGAGATTGAAATCATGCTAAGAAAGCTCACATATTTTTTGAAAAAATTCTCGATACACAAGAGTGCCTTGTCAGTTTACAGTAGATTATAATGCAATTTCTTTCGTGCATAACGACTCAAATGGAACAGTGCAAACTGAGTCATTTGCCTCAGTACTGGACTAGTTTTTAGGATTTCACTTCAGCTTATAATCAGTTTGCTTTATAATGACCATTTTGGTACCCCAACTTTTTATGTTATCACAATTTTAGAGACTTATCTCTTGGTTATTATGCTTTTCAATGTATGAAATGATGTGAGATCATGCTCATGATCTACACATACCAGATAATCATTATCTTAAAATGGAAAAGAACTACTAAATGATATCAAGTAATAATCGCCATTAGTGATATCCAAGCATAATTTGGTACTCTCGTAAGTTGTTTTCATCACAACTCGAATGTCATCGAAAGTTTTCCATGGTAACTGTTTACAATAACAAGGTATAACAATTATTACGCCTCAGTCTCAAACAAGTTAGGGTCGGCTAAACAATCAAAAACTTGGCATCAGTTGACAAGTAAGCGCTCAACTGACAACTAAACACTTCATCTCATCCCACTATGTCTTGTGGACACTGGATGCTGACGTGTCACATAAATTTTGGTTGTCTAGATGTGCATGCTCAAAGTTGGAGTGCATACTTGCCTGTTTAGGCCAAATTTGAGTTGTCTGTCAGAGCAAGATCAGACCACACACGGGGACTATCGCCTACCTCAAAGCTTAGATATGAGATCGAATCGCATTAAAAAACAAGACCTAAGCATGTAGCAAATTATCTTACCCAGTCTACAAGATACATGTTCATGGCCCTTGGGCCTTAGGACATCTTCATCAGGTACCACTCCAGAATCTCCTGCATTATTTACCTGCAGAAATTTATTCAGCAACTGTCCAATATTTGCCTCGAGATCGAATAAGGATTAATACATAGATTCATGCTCTTACCAGAATATCAAGCCTCCCATATTGTGTTTGTATGAACTTTGCTAAGGACTCAATGCTCTGAGCATCAACATCAAGTTGTTCATTCAGCAAGGATGTTGCTTCAGTTCCTCTCTTTTCGTCTCTGGCTGTTAAGACAACCGTTACACCTGAATTGGCGAGCTGCTTAACAGTCTCGAAGCCAATTCCCTTGTTTGCTCCAGTAACAACTGCATACTTACAAACGTCTCCCATCACTTAAGTCCAATGTTTCTAACCTTTTCTCCTTTGGAATCCTTTTGGGCAGAAGAAAAAAGAACAATATTTCAAACGAAATAACGATACAGGAAGAAAGAGGTACGTATAGACTAATAATCCAAGAGTTTGAAATAACAACCTCAGGGAATTCATTTCATCTACCTAAGCCTTAATTGACAGGATCGATTACCAGTATAAAGTTGATTAGTTCAGGTTTCCGCAGCTGCTAACCTAGACACTACTGTTATTAAACCCAAAAAACCTCTCTCTTACCATACTACGAGTCAGGGGTATAACTAATGGGACGCAAAGGGGTTCATCCGATCCACCCCCTCCCCGAAAAATTGCTCCATACATGTATACAAAGCCAAAATTACTTTTTATATGTAAGCATAGTAATGTTACTTGAGACAATCAAAACCTCTTTGTGTTTTTACAACAACATACCCAATGTAGTTCCACAAAGTGGAGTTTGGGGAGGAGGGTACGCATACATTACCCCTACCATAGAGGTAGATAGGCTATTTCCGAAAAAACAGTCCAAAGCAGTTCTGAAAAAGAAGTAACGGAAGTGCATAGTAATAACAAAAACAACAGACAGCAAACAAAACAGAAACTAGAACAAAACAAAAGGATATATAATTGAGATACGAGAAACAACAAATAGTAACAAAACTGAAGCAAGAACAAAATGATACGATATATAATTGAGATACAAGCAACAACAGATAGTAACAAAACAAAAACTAGAACAAAACAATACGATATATAATCGAGGTACAAGAAACAACAAATTGTAAGAACAACGGAAGGACAACAAACTACAGGGCAATACAATCATGTTAGACCTCAACTAATTCCAACCATTATCTATAAACTTACCCTGTCACATGAATCAAAACGATATAGTAAACAATCAAAGACCAAATTTCAGAATCAGTTCATTTTTGTCAAGATTTGGAAATATTGAGTTACCTGTAAAACAAATCTGAAAATGGGGTTGGCAATTGAAGGCCTAATTTCTGTTCTACTATCTACTACTGGTGTAATTAAATTTGATGGATAAATAAATACATTACATGAAATAAAAAAAATAACAAAAAAAGAGAGAGAAAGAATGTGAAAAAAAATGAAAATAAATATGACTTTAGAGGCAATGTTATAGGGACTAAAATCGTTATTTCCACTTTTATATTATGTTTTCAATTCCCATTATAGGACTTTTTTGCTGTTTTTTTTTTTTGTGTGTGGCTAAAACATAGTTTGTAGTACCACTAGCAAAAAAGAGAGAGGTGGATATATTATTTTCGTAGTTAGCAACGTGTTATATATTTTTATAGTGGACATATTGTATTTTCACTCGATGTCTGGTATCCACAACAATTTTTGCACATTTTAGGGGCGGCTCCTGACATGGTCATTTTCCATTCCAATTTCCACAGCCCGTGTTTCTAAATCATCATATCATATCATATATATCATATATTACTAAAAGTGGAAGTTCCAAAGTGCAAAGTTGGATTACCATTTTATCCCTACACTGTATAAATCATCATATCATATATCATATATCATATATCATCATATTCATATTCATCATATCATCATATTCATATATATATATTATGAAAAGTGGGAAGCTTTTAACTTTAAAGTTGGATTACCATTTTACCCCTACGATAAGTTAAAATGTTATAAAATATTTAATTTAATTAGAATTCTCAATAAGTTTTCTCTAATAAATATTTGTATTCATAACCGAATTTCTATGCAACCTATAATTACAATGCTTAATATGTATTAACCTCTCACAATTGAATTATGGAAAAATTACAAAAATTCCACCTTTTAGTTTACTTATTATCATTATCCCCTATAAATTTTATAAATTTCCAAAATCCCTCATTTTTGCACATCAGATTAATGTATCAACGCTTATATTATTGTATCTCGCGCTTATATTATTGTATCTCGCGCATCAGATTAATGTACCATGTATAAAATGTACATCATATTAGTGTATCATGTATAAAATGTACATCAGATTAGTGTATCATGTATAAAATGTAATGTATCTTACTTAACAATTAATGTATCTCGCGCATCAGATTAATGTATCATCACTTATATTACTGTATCCGTTTTGAGGGATTTCTGTAATTATAAACTTTTAAGGGATAAATTGTAATTTTGCCTTAAAAGTATGTGATTTCTGTAATTTTCCCTTGAATTATTATTAATAATAATAATTTATATATATATAATTAAATCAAATATTTAATTAAATATCTAATTAAAAAATATTATTTTGCGCACCTTAAGTAAAAGTTAAATAAAATTCAATTAATTAATTTTTCAATTACATAAATTGAACGGGATTTGGAAGTGGAAAAGTGGTACTTTAATGCTCAGACAAACGTATCCAAGGAATTCACATAATACATGATTAATTGCTTTAAATTAACACATCATGTATTACTTTACCTAACTTTTACAATTCCTATAATTTGTCTTTTCATTTTCTTTAACTTAACTTATCAAATTCTAACACTTTTAAATTAGTAACCAATCTTTGTTAATATAACAATCAATAGAATTTGAATAGTTCATTAAGTATTTAAGTGTAGGTTAATAAATACATATTATGTTAAAAGGAATTTTAAAGAACATAAAAAAAAACACTATATAAAGGTAACAAATGATTTCCATTTCCTTATGCATGAAATAAGAAAATGGGAGATGGAGAAACATGTAGAGTTGATAGATGTTGGAATTGAATAATTGTCATATCAATTTACATGCAACATTCAACATTCATTGGATGATATATGAAGACCACTATCTCCGTATGGAGTGCTACCAGAAATTCATGAGCTATGAAAAGGAGGAAGTTGGTTTCTTTGGAAGATTTGATTTTAGAATTTTCATTAATTGATTTATTCTTATAATGTACTGTAATTATAATTGTTTACGGCTATAGATAAATGCGACGTTATTTGTGTATTTGGAAGGGAGTTATAAAATGATATCTTGTAGTATTTTACTATAAAAGTGGGAACTACCAAGTTAAAAGTTTGAGAACTACCAAGTTAAAAGTTTACATCTCTGGCATTCATCTTAATTTGTTTGTTATTGTTGATATAGTAGTTGGATATCACAGGTTATATGCCTTCATGGCAACATCTGATTGGTATTGAAAAAATTATTTCGTAATTTTTGTATTCTGTAATGTGTCTTCATATGTATCTTCATATTTGAATTTACTGATTCATTTTACTGAAAGAATTAGGAGTATCCGCGTCATATATAAATATAGTATCAAACTTTAAAAGGAAAATTTTCTTTTATTTTGATATGATATCATTGAATAAAAACTATTTTAGCTAAGTTGCAATTTTTTGCTACATTTATTTTCAAAACTAAATATGTATGTATTTTTTTAAATATCATTAATATGGGAAACACACGCAACGCGCGTGTCCGGAGACTAGTATATTACTAAAAGTGGGAAGTTTCAAAGTGCAAAGTTGGATTATCATTTTACCCCTACACTATATAAAAATATTATAAATAATAATATATATTAATTAATTATTAATTATTAATCCAACTCAAAAGTTAATTTTTTATTATCAATTATGAGTTATGACTCTTCAATGGCTCAATCCCATTTTTCAGCAACCATACAACTTCAGCTATTTTAATCGTATACTATTTTCTGTTTTCAAAGCATTTAGTTATTTTTCCATATTGAATTAAATATTTTATGTTTTATAAGCATTTAGTTAGTTTTCCGTATCAAATTAAATATTTTCAGTTTTCTAAACATTTAATAGACTCTTCAGTTTTGGAATATGAATAGTTATTTTCATTTTCTATATATTTACTGTGAATAAATTATTATTTTTTACTTCTAATCCTTTTTATAGTTTTCTCTTGTATTTGCTTAGCCTTTGTGTTTGCTAATTACTAATTTTTATTTATTTTTCTTTGCTTCAGATCTTATCTTGCAATTGTGATCTCTTCCCTTCTCAATTGCATCATCAGCTACATAATAGATATGATATTCATATCATTGGAGTTATGCTTAGTCATGAAGAAGGTAAACATACATTAAGCCAATTCACTAGGAATCTTTTTAGTTTGTTAAGATGTGTCTCATTATTAGGAATCTTTTTAGTTTGTATTAAGTTCTAGCTTGTTTGTGAATATGGATTGATTATGTTATATTTCATAATATTATTATATTTAAACAATTTAGTTAATATTCTCCTATAAAATCTACACATGAAGGATTCATAATCTTGAATCAAACAAAGAAAGTCGTACATGCAATTATCTAATACAAATAAATATGATTTTTGCAAGTGTACCCCGTGAATTGACAACGATACATTATCCATCTTAAAGAAGACATATGTTAATCAATATTTCTATATTATGAAATACAATTTTTATTCGAAAACAACATCTTGATATGTATGTGGATATATATAATTGTAACATCCGGCAATGTGAAATGGCTATGGAGAGGCTTAAGAATTTGAAATTTGTCATTTTTGGATTGAATTTTGAAAATCTGGAAAATTGGCTAAGTGTGGAAAAATGAGTTTTTGGCCAACTTTGAACATCCATAAATTATATCTCAGGATGAGTTAGCGGATTTCCAGTTATGGTTGCAAAGTTCGTGGAACGATCTTTCCAATGCCACCAAGTTTGCTCGATTCCGAGTTCGTATGAGCGAGTTATGGCCATTGAAAGTTGGGCAGCTGGCAGGGAATCCGTCCGGAAATTTTAAGGGCATTTGGGTCTTTTCCCTTGCCATTTCTTTTGGGATTATATTGTTGTATTAGGCTGATCTTTGGATCATTTTGTCCCATTTTGAAAGAGAAAGAGTTAGGGTTCTTGAGAGTGAAGAAGAGAAGAAGAAGAGATCAACAAGATTCGCCAAGATCATCGTGGATTATCGTCGGGGGTGATCCCTACTAGGTATGTGAGTTCTTTGTGTGGGTTGATCCTTTCCCCCACACACCAAGCTCATGTTTATGGTTTGAGAAAAGATTGGTTGAGTTGTTGAAGTTCTTGTTGGTTTGGGACATGATTTGGTTGTGTTTTGAGTCGAAATCTATTGTATGTTGAGGGATTTATGATTCTAAGTGTTTGGGGCTGAAAACCTTTTAAGTTAAGAGAGTTGAGAGTTGGTAACGTGAAGGAGAAAAGCCGGGCAGCTTGCATGGAGCAAGTCTGCGTCGCGGCTTTGTTCCCAGAGGGAACAAAAGCTTCTCCGCGTCGCGGACAGAACGCGAACTTCACTGTTTTCAGAATTTAATCTCATAAATTTCCTTAAGTTTAGCTGTCCTAAATCATTCCTAAATCATTCCTAAACACCATGAGGTCTTTCCAAACACAAAACATGATCCTTAAATCCATAATTCCAATCAAGAAAGTTAGGATCAAAGTCAAGCCTAGAAGTTAAGAATTTTAAGTCAAAGCAAGTTTTCAAGTTGTTCAAGAGTCTTCATTGAATGTTTTAACTTCATTGTGAGGCTCAAGTTTCAAGTTAGTTCAAGTTAAGTCAAGCGTTTCGAGTTGAGCATTGAGTTTCAAGTCAAGTAAAGAGCATAAGGGTTTAAAGTTGAGTTCATTTCTCAAAAGTATTAGGGAACTAAGTATTCCCAAAGAAGTTTATAAATGTTTTCACATTTAAGTAAGAAAGGAACTATGATTTCCAAAAGAGAGCCTTTGGGCTAGTTTTCAAGAAAAAGGAATATCGATTCCAAGAGAGCCTTTGGGCTAAGCTTTGAGTAATTATCTCAAATTAAAGAAAGATGTGTTTAAAACACTTATGAGCGAAAGTATTTTTGGGAGTATTATTGAGCACCGAATTGGGGACACGAGTTCATATTAACTCAACTCTCCATAAGAACCATGCGCCAACATGGGATTTCTCGGGTCATACTTTTTAGATAATCACGAAAGTTAAGCTAGTGGATCCATTAAGCAAAGGTAAGGTCCTATATCACGGCAAGGTATAGGATGGTCCTTGGGTTACGTGAGGTAAAACGTTGTATCATCACTAGGGCTCATAGTGGTGGTTGTCGGTTAAAGAATCTCCCACAAAAGT